TTTTTTTTTTTGGAAAAAAAAAAAGCACTATTAACTATTGCATAGTTATTTTAACATTTCCAGGACACTTTCAGGATTATTTTGATTGATTTCGATCGTCGATTAAGAAATCGAAGATCGTGGATCCGATGGCGACTGTTTGGGAAACATGACGCAATCACTATGTGATATAAAGTCATCATCCTGTGTTGCTTACCCAAGAGGAAACATTTTTGGACGTTATTTATACCCTCTAAGTATAATTATCATTGCTTGAATATTTTTGAAGTAACGAAGGGTAGTCGGATTCCGCATCCTTGCCCCCTAACCTGGTCTTTAAGATCAAAAGAGCCCAGTCTGAATCCACTGGGAAAGGAAACCTAAAAAGAAAGAAGAAGAACTGCAAGAACAGAACAAGAATTGTATATTCTTGTCCTTAGTTGCATGAAAAGCATTAAAGGGACGGATAGCATCTCTCTGGTGAGAAATTAAAGTTTGACTCTAATGTTGATTTAAGGAAACCATTGCATTCAGATCAATAACATGACATTGCGAATTGGTGAAATTATGGCACGTTTGTTTTTATTTTGAAAATTATATGTTGTATAATGTCAGACCAATTAGATTTCATAAATTGTGCAAATGCAAGTCGAATATTAAACCAACAAAACCAATTTAGAGTCTTTGGCTACTGGTTAAGGTTATTCTTGTAATTTGTTCTTGTACAGTGACTGACACAAGAAGGCAACCTTCAGACGTCAGCAAGATCTTCATCAAGTATTGCATTGTGGGATGGGGACTGCCTGCTGTGATTGTTGCTTTGTGTTCTGTCCTGGACTTTACCGGAACTTTTCATTTGGGATATGGTTTGTAAACTATAAAAAAATTGAAGAATGTTCCAATTGTTGGCCACCGAAAGTGCCGAAACATTACGTTTTCAAATGGTGGTTTTCCAATGTTTCATTTAATAACTCTTGATAGATATTACATCAAACATCTACAAGTTTACCATTTTCTTTGCTTCCCTCTCCTGTCTGCCTGTGAAAATTCAAGAAGAAATTGAATGCCGTTTAATTAAATAACTATAAATAATAATTGTCTCTAAGTATAGAAGTCTCTCGGAGTATAACATAATTTTTTCTTTTACTTCAGGAAATTCGATTTACTGCTGGATATCTCACGGAAGAGCGATAGCTGTTGCTATGGTAGCCCCTGTGAGTCTTGCTTTGTTGTTCAACGTTGTGTGCTTGGCGAAGAACGTGCATGTCATTCGTCACTTGCAACAGGTAGGCGACATCACAGTGGTAACTTATCTCCTAGTTGGCTTTCTTTTGTTTTCTAAAAGGGACAGATACAACACAAAAACCAGTTTGCATTGACCTGCTTGAAGATGAACATCCAAAACTTTCGCTTTATATAAAGCGTTTTTAAACAAGGCGAAGTTTAAGAGGAAAAGACGAGCCATGTTAAAAAATGGTGTATTGAACCTGGATAACAAAAATTATCCCGTCTGCCACCTATGCCCCGAATGCCTCATAACATCATTTGTTAACTGACCACACTAGAATAATAAGGTAACTGCTTACGGTGTGGGACAGAGGAACCAAATATGGGGCCATATAAGGAAAAAGAGAACCGCTCATATTGTAGAGAAAAACAAAGCTCTATTACGATTGCATGATTGTTGCTGCTGAACTAATCATTGTAAAATCTTAAGCTGAGGAACAGGCTACAAAACCAATTTGAAACAAGAATAAGAGGCCAAAAATCATGCCTGGCAATCTGTCATTGTATCCAGTGGTCAACTCGTTTGCAATTACCAAGACTACATGCTGTGCTTCATTTAAGGCGTAAGTCGCACATTATTTATTGAATGTTTAAGTTTTATCTCTCCAAACCTAACATAACGAGTGAGTGAGAGCAATGTAGAAACTACTCCATGGCGTTTGACTTTCCACTTTGGCACTGCACTAAAATGCAGAGCTTTTTCTTACCCCAGGCCGCCAACTTAGCTACAAACAACAGTTCACAAGCTTCACTGATCTTTATCTGCATCAAGCTGACCGCAGTAATGGGGCTCACCTGGATTCTGGGACTTCTGGCAAATTGGCATCAAACTGCATTCCTGCATTATCCTTCCACTGTGTTAAACAGCATGCAAGGTAACGTTTGATTCTGCTAGCCTCTAATTCGTTACTCAATTGTCATACGACCGAAAAAAAATACGAATGCGCGCGCTTAATAATTTGCACTGCAGTGCAATTTGAAATTAACGATAAATCGATCTGCCCTCAGGCAATCACAATGAAGTAATTTTCTCAGTCATGTAATAAAGTAATTTCTTCCCATTTTTCGAGTTTAACCTTTAAGTTTTTAAGATGAGTTTTTGAATTTCTTTCAATATATTTAGAGGGTACTTAGGGTGATTTTTCAAACAAGTAAAATTAAGGATTTTCGCTATGGGTCACATTTGAAACTTCTGTCAAAACCTACTCGAGCCTTTAGGCGTGTGCACTTTGAATGAATTTTCAAAGATCACTCGTAGTGGAAATATTTAACTGCATAGCCTTTCATACGTTTACTTATTTATAGTATGACTAAGAAATTAGCTATGATCGAGCATTAATTTGCACTGCAGTGCAAATAAAAACAAGAAAACAAAAAACAAACAATTAATCGGTCTGCTATCAGCCAATCACAATGAAGTAGTTCTCTCAGTCATATAACAATTTTGGAGATCATTTGTTTCATCTAATGGTTCATATTTTATCATGAAATCTTGTTTAACAGGGTTTTTCATTGCGTTGTGTTTCACTGCCACCAAGAAAGTGCGAGGTCTCATCAAGAAACGATGGAATACGGCAGGTGAAGCTAACGTACGCGTCCCTCGGGATCGATGTACGGGAGATACTGAAGATGTAACAGCTACAGGCTTTAACATGCTTAATATGAAGAACGTATAATTGGAACAGGCGAATAATAATTCTTCTCTGAACCCTTAATTCATTTAATTAAGTCGCTTCTCTTGATAGAAGAGATCTCAGTACTTCGATCACGGTTACTTCCAGCAATTTTAAATGGTACGAAGATTAAGGAACTGACATTTAATTTTAATATCATTCGATCCATTTTTCCTTCCTTTTCATTGGCCGAGAGCCCACCACGTGACCTGCAAATTACTGCCTACAAATAATGGTCTGCTTATGCGTAGTACCATCTAAATGTGTTATGTTGCGAATAATATCCTGCTCAATTGTAATCATGCTATTGTCTGAAAAAATGGCAGATCACTTCCCTGAACTGTTA